GAATTGAGAGCCTTGTGCAGGCTAGGCTAGCACTTAATCGCTAAGCTATACCCTCAGACCTTAGTAGGCATTTCAACAAGCACAACAAGAGAGATTCTTTGATCAAGCATCTTGAGAAAGCTGCACGGTGACCTGAATGGGTACGGATGCTGATGCCACGTTGGATCTCATTGTTCAGCCTTGGGATGGACAAGAGCCTGAGAGTCCATTTTCTTAAACACAGACTTGGACAAGGCAGTTGATCTTAAATGTGAATCCACCATCAACAGTAACAGAAAGGGGATTAGGGACAATCATGAATCTGTATGTATAGATTGAACCATATGAAACTGCCAAAATTTAACTCTTTATTGACTTTCAAAAATGGCGGTGTAAGGTAAGATATAATAGCTTCCCAAGTATTTTTAACTATTTGGCAACCAACTAGTGGACACAATTAGAACGAGGCTATTCAACATTTGCTGAAAATGCCTCAGCTTTCACTGGGTGTAAAGCAAAAGTTAAGGATTTGTTTCCCGGAAAATTGAGTCCAGTACAACTTCTTAAGTACAAGCTCAGGAAAATTTATGGAGCTTTTAAAAACACCCCCCCCACACACACCAATCCTATCTCACAATTTTTTTTTTTTTGAAGTCTGTGTTTCAGGAGTAGAGTTCTGCTGCCATCTACTGCTATATTGTTCTTTTTTTCTTCCTTTCTTTAAAAGTGACATTTTTTATTTCATTTGTATAGATGTTTTGTTTGCATCCATGTCTGTGTAGGACATGTGTGCATTGTCCACGGAGGCTGGAAGAGGGCATTAGATCCTCTGGAACTGAAGTTATAGATAGTTCTTAGTGGCCATATGGGTGCTAGGAATTGAACTTGGGTCCTTTGGAAGAGCAGCAGTGCTCTTAAGGGTTGGCACCATCTCTTCAGCATGAACTGCTTTGTTCTTACATTGGGTTTGCTCTGTAGTCTTGTCAGGCAATCTTCTAGCCTGGAGTTTTGTAGGTGCTAATGGAAAGAATAGTAAAATAGACTGCAATGGTACCTCAAACCTTTCTTTTCTTCATCTCTGGGAATTGAATCTCAGGCTTCATGCCTATTAGGAAAGCGCTCTACCAATAGACTACCATCCTGGCCCTCATTTAAAATATATTTTAAAATTGTGTTTACTGTGTATGAGTGAATGCATGGATGTGGAGGTCAGAGGACAGCTGGCAGGAGTGGGTTCTAGTTCCACCATGTCTTGGGATGTCAGGCTTACCATCTCACTGACAGGCTTAGAACCTGTGCTCCATCTACTTGTAGGCCTGCACCACCAGGCCCAGCTCTATTTACTTACAATCCACTGGATGTAAAGCCAAAGTTAAGGACTTGCTTCCCAGAAAATCGAGTCCAGTACAACTTCTTATGTACAAGCTCAAGAAAATTTATGGAGCCTTTAAAGACACAGGGGCCCCTGGTTAATCCTATCTCACACACTTTTTTTTTTTTTTTTTTTTTTTTTTTTTTTTTTTTTTTTTTTCAGGAGTAGAGTGTTTAGCACCGGGCATGGGGAGAATGGTTTCAGGTTTCTGCAGTTCTGAGACTTACTGTACAACTCTGTGTCCCGGGTAGCTGACAGCAGTGCAAAGTACTTGTTGGTTTTCGAGGGGGAATTGTGTCCTGCTCTTTCGACTTTCCTCCTCCACTCTGAAGGAAGCTAGCTTTGGTCTGTTTACATAATATATTCCAGTACTTGTGTCTGTCTGTCGTTTGGCTTCAACTAGTTGCAAGATCCCTTGGTTCCCTCATTAAGATTTCATAAAATGGTTTACTGCACGTGATCTTAGCCAAAAGCCAAGAAGCAGTGAGATCTCATAAAATCAACACATGCTCATTTGGTATCAGGATGAGCCATATCATTATTATTTTTTAGAATTAACCCTGTTCAGGATTTTGAAATCTGCCTTTTAGTGTGGTTTTATTTAGCTTCTTGGAGTATGAAGTCTGTGAACAGACCTAGTTTTATATTCAAATGTAAAAATCTCCATCCAACCGCTCTAAGTTGGGTCTGAAAATGCCCCCTAGAGGCCATCTGCTTCAGCCTGGGGCAGGATTCTGAGACAGGGGAACTTTTAAGAGTGGGGGCTGTTGGGGGAAGTTGGCATTGGGGATGTGCACATGGAGGGGACTCAGAGGCCCAAAGCCACAGAGTCAGCCATGGACTGAATCACCCTAAACCATGAGCCACAATAAGCCTGTCCCCGTTTGGCTGCCTCAGGCATTCAGGAGACCGAACACTCTAAACCAAAGGGTTATTTTTGTAAGGCTGTTACAGTGTGAGGTACTCTTTCTTACTCATGCTGGTCCTAATAAAAAATCTAATAAAATGTGGAAATAGGCTGAGGCAATGGCTCCGCTGGTAAAAGGCCTTGCTGCACAAGCATGAGGACCCGAGTTCAATCCCCAGAACTGTGTAAGAAAGCTGTTAACTCCAGCACGTGGGGATGGAGACCAAGAAAAGTGGATCAGTCTCTAGGACTCATTGGCCAGTCCAGCCAAAGCAGTGAGCTCCAGGTTCAGTGAGAGACACTGCCTCAAAAAATAAGGGGAGAGCCATCAAGGAAGACACCCCAACAGTGATCTCTGGCAACATGTTGCAGATGTAACCCCAACGTGGACATATGTGCATCATGTATATCCTTTCACATGCACACACATTAACATGTATACACAAACAGAAATATTAAATAAAAACATGGTAACAGCCACAGAATGAACAGCTCACTGAAAATAGAAGTGGAATGCTAAATTAAAATTTTCATTCTAGGATTCACAGTGTCTCATGTTTGGAATTTAGAATTAAGGTGGTATCTTCTAAAGCACTTACATGTCTTACCAGCATCACACTGTCCTCAGTATTGCTGAGTCTACTTTAGACAGAAAGGCTCCTAAAACTTTTTATAGTCCTATAATGGGAGCAGCATTATTTTAAAAACAAAGAAACAAATGCCTCTTAACTGAGAGATGGCTCAGGTAAGAGCACTGGCTGCTCTTTTAGAAGACACATGTTTGATTCCTACCACTTATATGGGAGCTCACAACCATCTGTAGCCCAGTCCCAGGGGATCTAAAGCCCTCTTCTGGCCCCCAGGGCACCTGGCACACATGGTGTACAGGCATACATGTGGGCAAAATACCCATACATAGGGGAGTGTGCCAAGGGGAGGGCAGAGCAAATCCACAGGCTTGGAAATGGGCAGAATGTTTCTGTCAGAAATAAATTCATGTAATCACGTTTTTCATTGGGTAAACAATGTAGGAAATTTTCTCTGTGCTTGTGTTTAAAACACACTTGAAGCTTCGGCAAGAAATCATTGATTGCCAAAATCAGGAACTACAGTGAGTCCTCATTTACTATTTCCTAAGGGTCAAGGTATTTGTGATTTTTTTTGTTTTGTTTTTAATGGAAACTAGTGCTTGGTATTTGTTTTCTTCTTGTCATCTTGAGGCCCAGCACCCTAAGCAGAGTAACATTAAAGCAAATCAATCTTGTTATTTTATTAAAACTATTGTGATATTTTCATATATATATATAGTTCATTTCAATTAAGTACTCATTTGTAAAGAAATGTGCAATATATAGGCTAAGAAAGTAAAGATGGGGAGAAAGTATGTCAGTCTACACTTAGGTTCAGAAAAATTCAAGGCATGCTGTTTTGGTCATATCTTTATGGCTAAGGCACAAATGAAAGTCAGACTCCAGGTGCCACTTGCAAGATGAATGTGCACATCTGTGACCTGGGTTTGGAACGACGTCATGCTTATCTATTAGATTGAGTGCAGAGAGCCTGCTAAGCATAGTAACCTCAGACCTTCCTTCTGCATCAATCCTGCAATCAGTTGCATTTATAAAGAGACCATGTAAGGCAAAGCAGTTGGTAGGGGCCAAGCAGGGCTTGCTTTATATAGCATCATATGGCATGTGTGGTTGACTGTGGGGCATTGAGTCTGGACAATTATTTACATCTGTTCCTAAACAAACCTCAACTGAAACCTAAGATTACTACCACCCACACCTCATCTTTACACTGCCCCTCATACAGTGCATGTTTTCAGAGTCCAAAAGCATTAGAAAGACCCCTTACCAATTCCACAGCAGAACTCTGAGCACAGTAGGCTTGTGACCATCTGACCACTATTTTAATTTTTAAAGTCAGATTTCGCTCTATAGTTTTTCAACTATAAAATAAATAAGTGGTCTCCCTAAGTCTATAAATACCTTCAAAAATAGACCTAGGCATTGATAATGTTACCCACAGCATAATATCTAAATTTCAAATTCTAGTTCCCACTTTACAGGTAAATTGTCACTAATAAAACTGTAAAATATGTAGGAGGAACAGAGGTCCTTGTGCTCATGGATAAGCACTAGGGGAAACAGGGATGTTAGCACATAGGGCTGTTCCTTCAAAAGAAGGAATGTATAACCTGTTATCCACCCAGAAGGCTGGGGACAGACATGAGTTCCAAGCATGGTGACCTTTGTGAAATTTGTGTGACTGGAGTCTATGCCTGATCCTCCTGCAGACCCTTATCAAATGCTTTTTTCCAGCCAGTCTACAGAACCCATTATGGAAGGTGCCATGTGTTCTTTATAAAGTTTTGATCACACTGGATCTTTATTTAGCTTACTTTGTTCCTCAAAGAGATTTATGTATGTTTTATTGTATACACAGGATTGACTTAATTATCCCAAGAAAATTTCTCACCAAATGGTGCTGTGTTTAAATATGTCCCAAATAAACCACTTGCCTCCCAAGGACCATCACTCTGCTCACCATAGAGGTCGCAGAGACCCCTACAACAATCTCCTGACTCCAAATCTAGTATCTATGCTAAACACTTTAGTCCCCAAGGAACATAATCCTGAAATCATACATATTAGTGAAATGTGCCCCAAATTATACTCTTCCCCATGGAATGAACTCAAGTAAGAAAATAACATTAGAAGAGTCTACATGACTAGGAACTTGCAAATAAATCCTTTATATAAAAATACTCCTGGAGACAAAGAAATGTGATTAAAGTTCCACACAACAGTCACACAAATTTTACATTGGTATAAAGCAGAGGCTACATTTGTATTACAATAAAACATCACAAGTTTCCAAGGGAAATTTTAGACAACTCCAAGCCGTTTATTTCAGGACTGAACAGTCTTAAAGAAAGTAGAAGGAACATCACACAACAGGGCAAACCTAACAAACATTCCTGCAGTCTTGGGTGGTAGATGTTCACTAGACTTTAAATATATCTCTGTATTTGAGAACTGCTATGACAAAGTGCTGGGGAAAAAGCAGAAACAGAACACTCACTTTAGCAACTTACATGGTCAGCAGGCTGGCTACCCAGAAGCCAGCCGGCTTCCACCTGGCTTTCATTGAGTGTTGCTAGTTATTGCTCAGGCCCACACACAGTATGTTAGGAACAGGGGCCACAACACTGACTAGAACAGGACTTTGGCCCTCCCCTGGGGCCCACACAAAAGGGAACTGTATTTCCAGGAGTCACTCTGTACTACATTCTGAGGGGCAAGTGTCCAGCAGGCTACCCTTTCCTTTCTCTGTCAGGTAGGGCTGGGTTCTGCTAAGGAGACACTGGGCAGGACAATGAACACCTCTCCACACTCCACGTTTTCAACTAGAATTGTTTTCCTGTTTTGCTTTTCTATTAACCTGATTTTTTTTTTTTTTTTGGTGGGGGTTGAGCAGTTTAAAACATCAAAGACACGGGTGACACTCAGAGAAATAACTAGGTTAACTCCATTTGAGTGACCTCAAGGCTTGTGACTGAGTGTTAACTTGTTCAGGTTGATCACACTTGGTTCATTTTTCTGGTTTCTGGGAATTGGGAAGCACCAGTCCATTTCATTCCGCAGACAATCACACATGACAGCTACTCTGAGAATGCTGACATTTAAAGAGTATTTCAACAGACTATCAAATGACAATTGACTATACCCTAGTCACCCACTTACGGCGTCTAGGAAACCAAACACCCCACAAAACCAAGTAATGGCATTTTATATTAAGACAATGAAGAGGACTTAAGGCATGTCAGAAAAGAAGTGGGTTAATAACAGAAAAAAAAAAAAAAGAAAAGCACTTCAAAGTCTTAAGTTAGAAAAACCTCTAGTAATTAAAATCTTTTCTGGTCACAAGAAATTAAGGAAACTCTTATAAAGCAGTAGCAAGTAACTTCTCTATTAAGAGAACAGTCTAATTGCACACATAATTCACAAGTTAGTCTTAATTTGCCTGATACTGATAAAAATTCCACCTTATGCCAGTCATGAAATTTAACTGTGAGATATCATCCAACGCCTGTCAGTTGATTTCATTAGGGTGATAAAAGCCCTTCTTGCATTCTAATTCACCCTTCCCTCCTTTTTGGAAGGAAACATTGAACAGCCAGAAATGGTCATAGCCAAAGGGCAGTAACCAATTACCAAACTACAATCACCACCAGGCCAGGTCTGATTTCTAATAGGAAAATATTTGCCTTGGAGAAAAATCTTCAATAATGAGCTGGACATTTTTGGAAGAGAAAACAATTGTTAAGAAACCATGACCAACATACTGCAGACACAGGTCAGATTCTTACAGACCAACTGGTGAAATGAGAATGCTTAGGACTGGGGTGGGGAGCTGGGGGGATGGGATGACAACTAAGAAGTGTGTCTAAAAAACCAGCTTGATCATTTTACTCTGCATTCATGGTGACTGTCATAAGATAATCAGTTGGCTCATTATAAACATCAAATTTGAGAAGTCATAAAACTACATTAGACGTACTTTAGGTGATACACATTAAAATAAGGCACTGTGTCAGTAGTGGGGAGTCACACTGATTTCCCACTGTTAAAGCCAGGATTGTCAGTGTTTGTGGCTTAACACTGAGCATCTCAATACATACACTAGAAACATCTAGTCCAACTTTCTCTACAGGCAGGGATATCCTCATGCTGGGAAAAGTTTAACTTAGTCAAAAAACTCTAACTTAGGCAAAAAAAAACCTCAAGATGCTGGGAGTTTAAAAAAACAAAACAAAACAAAAAACCAAAACCAAGGCAGGAAATGACTGTTCTTACCACCTGATACAGGCATCTTTTAAATAGAAATCTGACCAGGAAGCTTTTAAATACCATTTCCTTTTTTCAAAACACAGAGGGGAAAGGTAGCTGATATTTTATGGTGACATTCAACTTTCTGATAAAAATGTTTATTATGGAATATGAAAAAAATAAGAACACATACAGAAAATAGGACCTCAAAAAGTTCAGTACATTTTCAAAATAAATACAAAAATAACTATTGCTTGCTTTTTCAGGAAACCCCACATTTATTCAATGGGAAACAACTGCAGGAATGGGGCAATGCAGGTTTCCCTAGGTAGGAGATGCTGCAAGTGGCTCAGGGGCTGCTGAAGACACAGCTAAGACGGCATACACCCGGAAACCAACTGGTGATGCATGATGAGCTTGTGCTAAGGGAGGGGACAAGGTCTTTCCTTCACCTTTATGGGTGGAATGAAGCAAAGAGAGAAAAAAAAGGAGGTCAAAGTGCTACCTTGCCAGGATGGGCTACAAATGAAATGCAGACCCCTCTGTCAAGATCTCTGGGAGTTCTCTGGAAAGCAGGGCAGATCTAGAACTGGCCAGCGGTTCTGATTTGGCCGGAGATAGAAGTCCCTTTTCTTATGACCAGAAAGCGTAAACAATCTTGTGTAAACAGCAGGAACCCTTAGGTTCCTTGTAAGTGCTCTAATTAGTTGTAGGACTCCCTAAGAACTAGATTCCACAGGATAATGGCACAAGGATCACCTGTTTCTCATATTACACCAATACATTCTATAGAATGTATCAGAACTGGCATTGAGCTGGACTAAAACCACCGACTCAAGCTCAACCCAACCTTGATTTAGATATCTCTCAAATACCCACAATTTTAGTTTTAACAAATTCTATTGTGTGGAGATAAATTTCATTTATTTTTATTTTATGTGCTTTGGTGTTCTGCCTGCATGTATGTCTGTATGAGTGTGTCAGGTCCCCTGGAACTGGAGTTAACAGAGAGCTGTAAACTACCATGTGGGTGCTGAGAAATTGAACCTGGGTCCTTTGGAAGAATAGCTAGTGCTCTTAACCACTGAGCCATTTCTCCATTTCCTTGAGGAAATCAATTTTATTTTAATTAAACTAAATCAAAATGTAGTCAAGAGGACTGACAAGTTTTCTGGCTGCAAGAGTTTCTGTAGCCACCCATAAGATGCCTGCCATTTAATGGCTGATGAGCTGAATCACTTTTAATATTTATGCTGGTGATTTTGTGTTTGCAAGCAAAAGAAGACACGCACAGGGTTGTGGAAACCAAGCTGCATTGAACAGACAAGAAAGCTTACGTGGAAGTAACAGTCGACAGTTGGCAACCACATTACCACAGTATTACACACTGGAGAAGCTGCTGTGGAGCCTCAGAATATGCAAGCAGGGAAGAAGCACTTGGTGCTCAACAGACAAGATGTTCACACTAAAGTAAGGGTTAATGCAGCCCCTGGATCCTCAGTGAACAACAGGGAAGGCAACACATGAGAACTTAGGTTTTCCAGGGACCATGGTTCAAAACTTCTGAAATTCACAGGCATCAACTAAAATGAGAACTCAGCACCTGAGCAGCAACTTTCTCACTGGTGTCAGCACAGGCAGTAGTGATTCTCATGTTTAATATAGTCATAAATGTCCTAAAAACAGCCTCGGTTTCTAAGGCACCTAGTATTATTAAACAATTGAGCTTCAGCACACTAACTCTGGCTGACTAACAGCACATTGTCTTTGGACTTCCATGGGAAAAAGCCCATGGAAGTACAATGAAGAGGTACGCTAACTGACAAGCAGATTAGGCACAGCCCTTCAAATGTTAAGTTTCTGAAGACATAGGGGACACGTAGATTCCTATGAAAATTGTCTCAGGTATTTGTAACAGTCAGAAGTAGAAAGACCTCGCTGATAATATTTGCTGCTAGGTGTTACACCTCTCCCACTGCTTGTTTGAATATTCTTTTTTGAGACCAGGTAAGGAAGGCACTGTTGTTCATTCGTGTGGTTTGTAGTTCTTTAACATGAGTATATGGATGTTACACTCCTGCATCAGTACTTCGTGGCTGGAAACCCTCCTTCCGAAGGCCACCCATATCAAATCGAGTAGAGACTTCACAGCGTACTAATAACGTGTCATCCTTAACGAAGGTTCCCTGTCTTAAGGCTTCCAGGTGCATAAATGTTACATAGCCAAAACCTTTGGGGTTCCGTGGGATTGTGGGACGCTGAAAGGCAAGCAGCTCTGGTTTGGCATCCATGACTTCTTCATGGTTTTGCCTTATTACTGCTTCAGACTGATCAAGAATTGTGAGGCGTATTGTACCCTGGAAGGGCCAGGGGAGATGGCTGTCATACTCTCCTTGCATTGTGTGGACAAATAGGGATATATAGTTTGCACAGCGCTGAGCCGTTGGTAACTGAAGGTGCAGGCGCATGCACAGCTTGTACCCAGGTCTGCCTGTGTAGAATCCAGGGCTATGAATGACAACAGGTTTCTCCTCTTCTTGGGATTTCAAGTGCATCCCAAAGTTGCCAATCTTCCAAATATAAATCCCATTACACTGCTGTGCTTCCATTTCAGCAACTTTGTCCTCAAGGGTACGAATGGTTCGTTTGAGCTCGCTTACATGTATACTCTGAGTTTCCATTTTGGCAGTCAGTTCCCGGATTTGATGGTCCTGTCTTACTAGGCGACTTTCCAACTGTTTGATAGTTTCCTCATAATTTGGGTCCTCTGGACAACATCCCCGGGATGGAGAGGAAGTATCACATGAACGCAAAGTAAGGTTTACATCATGAACAGCCTGGGCCAACAGTCTCATGTGCAACTGGGTATTCTCTTGCAGGTGTCGTGCCAAGTGATTTCTTTGCATCTGAAACAGAAGCACAAGCCATAAGTTGGGAACATTTCCTCGTCACTGAGGATGAGGAAAAGGACTAGGCTAGGCAGACAAGAGGTTTGAAAAGTAACATCACAATTTCTCTAACCTTTATCACTTCTCTGTGTTGTCACCTGATTCAATGAAATAATCCTCTTATTTTATTGGAGCTAACTGATGAACACTCTCAGCTGTTACTCCTACAAATCTCCCTTCTGTTAAAGTAGCATCTATACCCATCTTTCTTTGTAGACTCGAAGACACCAAACACCCAGGTCTCTTTTCCACATGCTCCTTCCTCTAATGTTTCTCTTCTGAGAGTACAGCTAATAAAATCTTTGCATTAGAAAAACAAGTCAAAGCTTTCTATGGATTATACTTCCTTTCGTCAATATCATTTTCTCCCCTTTAAAGCTACCTGAGCCTGCCTGTCAAGTCCTCAACTCCCACTCATGATGCTGACTTACTGCAAACTGCCATCCCTATAGTATTCGAAGACCATCAAATTCCTACATGTTCTATAATCATAAAATAATGTATATTATAGAAAAATAGAAAATACAGGTGATTAAAAAGAAAACAGGCTATTATCTTAGTATTTTCATGTATTTCAAGTTTTCTCTCTATGCACATAATACAAAACTTCGTCATAACATTTAAGTGTATGAGTTACCATTCTATTTGATCTTTTGAACTGTGAAGTATGTTTATTATAAGTATTTGTAAAAGCAGAGCAGAAAAGCAAACATGTAATTGCATACCACAGAGAAAACAAGGCCAAAACACACCGTAAGCTGTCAGACACTTCACGCTATAACCCCATCTAGAAGCTAACCTGGGAGACTATGGCAGGACTGTCCTTACCAGATGAACTTGTTTTAAACACTGTTCATTCAGGTTTCTTTCCTTGCTTACCTCTTTCCCATAACACGAATTCTTTATCATTGCAATACCGACTCCATTCTTTCTTACTCTTCCCAATCAGTATGCTGAGTTACACAGGGCCATCTCCATTTGAATGCCAGAGCTGAGTAGACTCAATACCACTAAAACACCCTTTCCTTCTTTTTAAGCTTCCAGCTGTACAGCTCGTCCTGTGTTCACTCTTTTTGTTGAGGTCTTTACCGCCAACCCAGTGACTAAGGCCAGAAACCCACAGTCATTCTGGATGCCCCTCTTCTCTGTCTACCGTATATACTTTGTTACTATTAGGTCTTCCCTCCTAAATGTGTCTGGGATTCCTAGATCTCTATCTACTAACTTTAATTATTCGTGCTGTGCTAATTTTGGGTGTTAGTGAAAAGTTCAGATACCGCCTTTCCTTATTCTACTTTAGATCTTCCATGTTGTTGCTGGATTGAATAACATAAAAAAGAAAAACCTTAAAGCAAAACAACAACAACAACAACAAAATAAGTCACCACATTCACTCACTTTCTCTTGTCTTCTTACACATTCTTTTTGGTAGAATTTTACTTTTATTTTATTTTATTATAGGTATGCGTTTGTGTCTGTGTTTGGGGATGCACATGAATGCAGATGCTACAGAGGCCAGAGGTGTAGGATTTCCTGGGGCTGGAGCTGCAGGCCACTGTGAACCACCTGATGTAGGCAGGTGCTAGCAACTACTAGGCCAATTTCCAGAGCTGCCCTGAACATTGTTTTCCCCACCTGTTAAGACTCAGTCCACAGGCGGGAAGATGGCAATGGTGTCTGCCACCAAGATTGACAATCTGAGCTTGACCCCCTGGGGTCCACATGGCAGAAGGAAAGAGCCAACCCCTGTAGGCTGTCCTTTGACCTCCACATGCATGCCATGGAACGCAGCCACCCACATACACACTTATGTGCATACGTGCACAGATGCATACACACCAACTAAAAAGGACAAAGATTTAGTCTAAACATGTTCAGTCATGTCTACCTAAATACGTAAGCCATTACTACCTGTGTAATAGCATCAATATTCATAATAATTTACATCAACAGTGCTTACACGTAAATGTTTTCTGAAAACTTAAAATTTGTTGGTATTCTTCAGTACAGATGAGTAGTTTTTTAAATTCATATTCCAGAATTCAAAGAAAACTTACCTTCTCATGACAGCCAAAAACACTGAATGTGCAAGGGATTGGAGCTGTCGGGCAGTCTAGATCATAATGATTAGGCATCTGAAAATCAAAATGAAAGCTGAAAAATGTCTTCCTCTGCATATCATGCTCTAGATGATGATAGTACATTTAAAAGTCTTACACTAAGCAAAACTATGTTATTATCTATGGTTTCTTCACAATTTTTAGAGAAATTAAATATTAACATCTAATTAACATATAATTAAATATTACATCACCCAATTCACTAAACTTCATTTCTTAAAATGGATTTGTTTCTGCTGTAGAGAACTGGCGCCCTCTTGTGGCATTTTTCAAGAAAACACCCCCTTAACAACTAGTAAGGCAAACCCAGAGAGCCCTCTCTGTGGTCTAGGCCATTTAATAAGGGACTGGTTATACATTCATTAAAGTCTCTGAACAGACCGATTACTTTCCATATGACAATCTTTTACAAATCATTTTATCTTTGAAACTTGGCCTATTTTGACTATACTGGGGAACTTGGTTATTACATGGTAGAGACACAACCATCCCAGGCTGGACACTGCACCCCACACTCGACTCAAGTTACCGTGTGGTCATAGGACAGTCTTATCTGCTTCAAGAAAAGTGTCACCAGTCAGCACAATCAACACCACCAGACATTTATTATTCTTCTGGAAATAGGACTGACCCTGGGCACAGTCTGCGGAGGCTTTTTATTTAACATTTCTAAAAAAAAAAAAGTCCCAGGATTTCCCCTCATGTGTTTTTGTCTTGCTTCTTTGTGGTCCATGATCCCAGTTGAGGCTGTCAGCATAATGAAGCCAAACTGATGGGATGGGAGCAGATTGTTAGTGCTATTTTTCTAGGTCTCTGAGCTGTCAAATATAGGGCTGATCACTCCACACTTGCTCAGCCTGCCTGTGAGGTTTATGAACAATGATTTCAAATCTGCCAATGTAGCCAGGCTTCATCATCATGGTTAGGAACTGAATGATGATTTTGGAGCATGGCCTGATGAGGATCTGGCATTTGCCTTTCTTCTCAGCATTGCTGATGTGCTTGAGACTATCTGCCAGTATATTCATGTACACCATGATGAAAGATAGTGGAGGAATTTCAGCCTTTAATTTGGGAGCTCAAGAATATATTCTTTAGGGTGAGACACATTAAAGGAGGTCATATTTTTAAAATGGTACCAAGAGATTAGGGTGTGATGGTACATGCCTTTAATCCCAGCACTTGGAGGCAGGGGCTGGTAGATCTTTGTAAATTCAAGACCAATCTGATCCACACAGTGAGTTCCAGGCTAGCCAGGGCCACATGGAGAGACCCTGTCTCAAAAACAAAATAAAGCCTAGAACCAACCAACCAACCAACCACAGAAAGTACCAAGGGGCTAGAGAGCAGCTCACTGGTAGAGTACACTCACCTAGCATGTGTGAACTCTGGGGTGTGAAACCCCAGGACAGAAAAGAAAAAGAAAAGGAAAAGAGAGGAGGAGGGGAAGAGAAAGAGGAGGAGGGACAGAAAGAGGGAGGAAAGAAGCCACGTGAAAGTAGGGCCCAATTTTCACTAGAAATTGAGTCACAGCAGTGGACTGAGGTGAAGATAATGTCACAGCAAGCATCAAAGTCCAGTTCTTCTGATGTTTCATTATGGTTTTTGTCTTTACTAAATTTTATTTTGTTGAGCTTTTACAAGTATAGCATAGTTTCCTTTAAATATTGAGAACAAAAGAGAAAACCAGGGGTATGGGATGACTTCATAAGCATAACGTTTAACACCTTCAAATTCTTGGAAAAAATACTACTAATAGATAAATGGGAACATTTAGTCATTTTTACTAAGTAAGTAATCAGTGAGTTTTTCACTTACAGCCTTTTCGGGCTCACACAGATTTAGTTACTAATATTCATCCTGTGTGGTAAACTCCCTAAATGCCAACAGATAGCAATTGGATGGAATTTTCCTTTCTTTATTAGTAATTAAAATATAACAGTTTTCTACTACAACTGTTGCCTCTGATAATGCCCAGCAGTGGCCTGAAGCCCTCTACCTGCCCTAGGAGTGGGCCCTGCACATTACTGTGCTACTGAGCACGTGAGCTTTCTTCTGCTTCCTCCTTCTTTCAGCCAACATCTGGACAACCAGGCCCTCATGTCAGTGTGTAAATACATTCTTATACAAGTCTGTTTTTAAGGGGGGAGGGGCCCTTTACTGCCAATGGAATCCTTTTTTTTTTTTTTTTTTGAAAAGCATCTCTCTACATAGTCCAGGAACTCACTACGTAGATGAGACTGGCTTTAAACTCCCCTGCCTCTGACTCCTGAGTATTGAGATTAAAGGTGTACACTAGCCACCATGCCCAGCTCACCAATGGAATTCTTATAAATACATATAAACACAGGTACTATGCAGATGACTCAGAAATTTTATTTATTATTTTCTTTTCTTTTTTTCTTATTATTTTATTTGAATTAGAAACAAGATTGTTTTACATGTCAATCCCAGTTACCTCTCACTCCCCTAACCCCCGGCCTCCCCAATACTGCCCTAACAATCCCATACCATTTCTGCTCCCCAGGGAGAGTGAAGCCTTCCATGGTGGTCTTCAGTGTCAGTCATATCCTTTGAGATACATTCTAGGCCCTCCCTGGTAGTCTAGGCTGAGGGAGGATTCCCCTATGTGGAATGGGCTCCCAAAGCCCCCACCTGTGCTAGGGATAAGTACTGAACAGCTACAGGAGGTCCTGTAGTTTTCCGAGGTTTCCTCACTGACACCCATACTGAAACCCATGTTCCTGGGGTCTGGATCAGTCCCATGCTGGTATCCCAGCTATCAGTCTGGGGAGCAAGAGTTCCCCAATGTTCAGGTCAGCTGTTTCGACTCAGAATTTTTTTTTTTTTTTTTTTTTTGAGACAGGGTTTCTCTGTGTAGCTTTGGAGTCTATCCTGGAACTTGCTCTGGAGACCAGGCTGGCCTCGCACTCACAGAGATACCCCTGTTTCTGCCTCCCGAGTGCTGGGATTAAAGTTGTGCACCACCAATGCCTAGCCCTTGACTCAAATATTTCAAACATCTACAAATACTAGATTTTTTGTTCCTTTGAAATATTAATTACATTAATTTGTATAATTTTTTTGTACAGCAAAATGCTTCAACACATACTGATTTTAAATTTTCAATTAAAAAAATGTAGCACTTCTTTAAGTTCTTAAACAAATAGTAATTTGCAAAAGAGATTCCTACCTGTTCTCTGATGAGGACTGTACCACAGTATTCACAGATGATATTTGCCAAAGGACAGGTCTGATCATGGATCTAAGTTGTATGAGAGAATTAAGAAATGCATGAGAAAGTCTGAAAAAGTTAAAAGACTAATTTTTATAATTTTTTCACCGTGAGCAAATGAAGAACATTTGTTTATGAAAAGTCACAATAGGAGACTTCTACTAGTTAATGAGACTCAGACTTCAGACTCCTTCAAACAGTTTGTAAGCATGCAAAACAGAGATGACCTCTTTTGAACTTGAAGCACAGCACCCCTGAGTAGTATGGATATCACTTGTTGATGTAATTCTCTAAGGGCAAAAGTTTTTAGCAGCAGCATGACAAGTTAATTACAATTCTTTCCAGTAAGTTAACAAGTAAGCAAACAAACAAGCAATCAAAAAGCATTAAGGCTTTGGTACCTAAGTTCTCAGAAGGTTGAGTCCCATTTTTTAGAACACAGTAACTTTGGTTTAATAAATAGGTATGCTGAGAAATAGACAAACCTTCCTTATTAGTTCATGGAATTTGTTCAAGTTGAGAAAGGTACCAAATTTGTTCCAATTATGACTAAGACTTTACATATTTACTATTAGCAAGTCAGCCGAATTTTCTTGACTATTTTATCAACACACTAAATATAAAATGCTTGATTTCCTAAGGAACAAATTTAGAAGAACAGAAGTTTAAGGAAGTAACTAAGTATTAGTTATAGAGTAACACAGACTAATGCAGCTTATTTTAGTAAAGAGTACAAGGGTAGGGTTTCAATGCCCCCCCACCCCCCAACTGACAACATTGGATGAAGCTAATTAGCTTCTTTACATCCCAGCTGAATGAAAACAAGTGCTCTACAATCATGATGCTGCTAGGACACTGTTTCTTTTTAAAGGTTAACTTCAACAAAATACAATATACACACTGAAAAGTGAATGGAGCCAATGGAACACACTTTGCAGTATTTAATGAATTCTTTCTTACATATACATCAGCTCACACTCTTTGTGAAATACATCTTACACAGCAGTCATGTTACTTCTTTGTCTGCCATCTGACCATACATTAAAATTCAGACATGGAGTAAACCAGCATATACCTCTCCTAGTAGCTCTTGTTCATTGTTTACTCTCAGTACTTAGTTTAATGCTTTCTAAGGATATGTAAATATAAACTCCACATTTATGGACCGGTGGGTTCCCCGAAACTTTATTTATTTCTTTCATAAAAATTAGCTTTTAAAAACTGATAATATAGCTGGGTGGTGGTGGCACACACCTTTAATCCCAGCACTTAGGAGGCGGAGGCAGAGGCAGAGGCAGAGGCAGAGGCAGATGGATCTCTGTAACGATAAATCTTTCTGCCAAGCTGCCGGAGCCCCACAGTCACATGGGTGCCCGAAATAACACATAGAGTCTTATATTAATTACAATGCTGCTGGACAATGACTAGGATTTCTTATCTGCTAGCTCAGTCTTAATTGGTTAGCCTGGTTTACAGAGAGAGTTCCAGGACAGCCAGGGGCTACACAGAGAAACTCTGTCTTGAAAAACAACAATAAAAGAACCAAAACAAAAAATTCATATTTTACTTTTTGTACTTAATATCCTTATCTAATGCTAACCTCTTCAAATAAGTATTTTAAATGTAATGAATAAATTTAAGTTAATACATACCTCTTTCTCTTCAAATGGCATGGACACAGCACAGTTCACACAGGAAACCTGTCTCCTGGGACAATCCTCGATAATGTGTATATGGAAGTGGCACTTTTGGAAAGGACGTTGGCATTGGGGACAATTCATAAGAGCAAATTCACAATGTGCTTGATGATCCTATAATGAAGTAGTTGATTAGCATTTAAAACCCTAAAAATGTTTTCTAGAGATAATCTTTTCTAAGAATACAGTTCTTTCAGATTTAATTATAACTGTCAATTTGGTACAAGACAAGTCACCTGAGAAGGGAGTCTCAATTGAGGGACTGCTCAAATCAGATTGGTCTCTGGGCATGTCTCTAGGGGACCGTTTTGATTGTTAACTGAAGTAGGAGGGCCCAGCCCACTGTGGGTGGCCTCATTTCAGGTTTCATTGGCAGGTTTCAATGGGCTGTATAAGAAAGCTAGCCAAGTAAGGGCCTATGAGCTAGCCAGCAAATTGTGTTCCTCCAGCAATTCTGAGTTCAGGCCTGACTTACTCAGTAACAGACTATTATCTGGAACTGTAAGCCAAATACAGCCTTTCCTACTCTAAACTGCTTTTGGTCAGAGTGTATTATCACAGCAACAGAGACTAAGTAAGAACAATGACTAAAGCCCACATTCTCTAGCCATATACAGCATGAAGGTCTTAATGAAGTCTTTCAAACAATAATGTGATGCCAATTGTATAAAAAGAATATAAAGTTTCAAGTTAATATATCCAGTTAGAGAAGTTTTGGAAAGAAGTTAGATTTCCAGATTAGAAATATATACTGTGCCAAAAGGGTCACGCCCACAAAAAGGGCTGAAGTGGTTAAAAGGGAACGCTGCTCTTCAAGGGGACCCAAGTTCTGTTATCAACTGCCTATAACTCCAGGGGAATCCAATAGCTCTTCTGGCCTTCATGGAGGTGGGGATGGACACACACACACACACACACACACACACACACACACACACGGGAAAGAGACAGACAGAGAGAGGGGGCGAGAGAGAGGGAGGGAGGAGGGAGAGGGAAAGAGGAAGGGAGGGAGGAGTAATGAGTAAATCTTTTTGTAAAAAAGACCAAAATAAAAGGGACAGCCTTCAAACCTGACCTAAACATTAAGTCTCAAATAGAATATTACCCATATTTGATTTCTGGAAAAAAAACCCCAAACGCCAAAGAATTGATTTATTTTAATTAAAAAGAAAATTATCTCATTGCTTCAGCTAATTTCCAACTACATGATTATTTTATTCAGTGAATAGTACTGTGTGCAATTTAGAAAAATAGAGAAAGTACAGTGAAGGTACTGAGATGATGGCTGTAAGACACTTCTTTTCTTATTTCAAAATGAGAGAAATAAAGTTATGGGGTTAAGATATAACTTGCAATTAAGGAGTTCTTCAACTATTGAACTGTAGATGTGCTGATCTGAAAAACTCCCAAGAGCACAGGCTTATTTTATTTCTGGGATAAAGCCAAAGCAGAAAGAATAAAACATTTTCTAATTTTCTACACTTAATGATGGCAAGAATTTATTCACCAATCCTGATCTGCTATAATGATACACAGATAACAGAGCAAAGTTGTTATGCTTTAGAGACTGCATTGTAACAACAGCTAGAAAACATCCTTAATACCTCGAGATGTCTCAGTTCCATCTTTTGCAAACAGCCTTTATTTGGGCACTTTACCGTCAGGGACAGAATCTCTCGCTTTGCGAAATTGTCAGGAAACAGTTGATTTTCCAGCAGTATTTCATTGTCAACTGGACACTTGTGACCTGCATCCCTAAAAGAAGCGGGAACTTAGAGTTAATAGCCTGAAGCCTCCACCTTGCAAGACTGACTGCAGCATTCTATATGAAATAACACATGCATTATATTGCACAGCAGCACCAGAATCACAATGCACTGTGGAGTTTATGAATTGACTTATGAGATGAATGCAAACTCGCACTGTACTATTTATCAAAAGCTAACAGGCTGTAGATTGTGGGATAGATCCCAGCTATACAATAAGCAAAACAATGAATAAACTTATAGTTTGATTGGCAAAAAAATGAAGTGAAGGTCAGTTAGGAAACAATTCGGGCAATCTGGCTGGCTGTGCTCTGAAATACATCTACAGTCTGTCAGTAAGTCACACAATGCTGCTCACAGTATTAGCAACACGTTTATAGTGTATTGCCTAGTTACAAACAAAAATTGAATCAGTTAGCAGTCAGCACCCTTCTGGGGCTTCTGGTAGGCTTTGAAACAAGGCCTATGATCTGCCAGCTCCTGAGCAACAAAAGGATAGTTTTATTTGCATATCTATGGTTAACTATAGTAGAGCCAAAGGGCCTCTGTGGTGGGCTTCTCAGTATTCTACCTCCCCTTGTCTTATGGTAGGGAAAATCACCTTCAGGAAACCTGGGAGTCTTCCATTCCCTTTGAACTTTTTGGTATGTCTCAAAAAATCTTTTAGAGATACTTTTATTTTGAATTATGTGTGTGCATCTGTATGGATGTATGTGCACCAGAGAGCAGGTGCTCATGGAAGCCAGAGGTATTGGATCCTCTGAAGCTGGAGTTACAGGAAGTTATGAACTACCTGCTAGGGGGTTCTGGGAACTGACTTGAGTTCTCTGGAAGAGCAGTAAATGCTCTTAACCACGAAGCCATCTTTCCAGCCATCCAGAGATGTTTCAGTCTTGTCTCACAAAATGTGATAATGAGGTAGGCCACAGGAGCCTTAATCCATCACTGAACCATTTCTTCAGCACTATGTGCTGCTGTGAGTGGGATATGGCATCTGCTGTCCAACAGCACAGAACTAAACCAAGTGAGACAGAGCTGATCTCTATGGTGTGTGTTTAAGATTACATAGTGCAGGCCAGGTATGGGATCTCTGTGAGTTCGAGGCCAGCCTGGTCCACATAGGGAGCTCTAGGACTACATACCTTGTCTCAAAACAAACAAACAAACAAAAAAACAAAACAAACAAACAAACAAAAACCCCTCAAAAAAACCTAATAAACTGCCAGACACTTTTAAAACATAGAAAGCCAGGTACAAATCTTGTAGAACATGCATATCTATATGAAAGTAAGAAATTTACAAAGTAAACCTAAACCTACAGCCAATACCCATAGTCTTAAGAAATCCAAAAGAAAATGAATTAGACCAAGATCCATTTTGATTTTGATTTCTTTCCTTTTTTTTTTTGGTTTTTCGAGTCCGGGTTTCTCTGTGTAGTTTTGTAGACCCAGGCTGGCCTCAAACTTACAGATATCCTGTGCCACCACCGCCCAACTTCATTTTGATTTTTTGAATGACAATCAAGGAAGATTTATAGTAGTTCCTCTTAAGAGATTAAAGCCATTTCTAGCCTCAAGGGAAACAGAACTAAAGTCTCAGATTTCCTTTTGTGGGATTTGTTTCTTTCTCATAACGCTATCCTACAACTTCCAAAATATTTTGCTGCAAAGATTAGCTAGCTACTTCCCTGGACACTTGATAAAATAGTGTACATTTCTCTCTTTAAGAAATCAGCATGTCACATGTGCTACCAATTGCTGTGGCCTAAACTGGCCCAGGGAACACTGTGACCTCACAAGCTGAGCTGAAGGTGATACTATTAGCATTCAGTGGACACACAGCAGGCATGAAGCTCAGGGTCTAACAGAAGACATTCTGCCAAATAAAGAATCATTTGCCCCCAAATATCAATAGTGCCAAGGCTGGGAAACAAACACGCAGAGAAACAACAAACACATAGCCTATCCTCCATAGATACTATTGGTTCAATGCCAGGCAACACATTTCCCCTCAAATTGAAGAGATGTGCTGCTCCCATGTAACTTAATTCAAGCTCCATGTATGGGTAAAGTCACCTTAATTAAGTTTTATTGTAAAGTTGGTACAGAAACTGAGAGGTACAAATTCATAGACCACTGAGTATCCCAAGATGGTCTTAGTCTACTTAGGAATCATTACAGTTTGGTTCCTAATACGACAATGCTCAAAACAGAGCTTTGGAGAAGTGACTGGAACTCAATGAGGGCTCTGACCTCCTCAGTGGATTAATCCATTTGTGGGTTCACAGTCTGTGGGTCAGAGTGAAGGTAAAGGAAATCCAGGAGGTGGGACCCAGCTGAACTGAATGAGGATCTTTTTCTCTTGTATATTTTAATCCAGTTACAACATTTACATACCAAGTGCTTACTGTGGGAAAGGCACTATTCTTGTACCTAGAGAAAACCCATTTAACATCTCAGCCTCAAGGAGCTACTTGCCAGTGCTGTAGTCAGGGGAAACAACAACAACAACAAAAAACAACCCCAAACCATATTGATTATGAGGTGTTAAGAAGAAAAGTACTGGGGGGGGGGGGGGGAAATCAAAGCCCAGCTGATAAGGAAGATCTGGAGTGTAGGAAGGCAGGCAGGCAGGCAGGCTTGTGTCTTACTGTGGTACTGAGTAGCCAGGACACCTAAGATTGTATTCCAGTTCAATGAGGCAGGTACATTCCTGGCACTTACAAAGAACAGCATGAAGAAAGGAGTGGAAGGAGAGCGAGCACTTGGAGAGGGCAAAAAAAAAAAAAAAAAAAAAAATCACATTTACTCCCAGATAGCTTGTGCACTTTGTTCTGAGCCAAGGACACATCATGTGATGCATATGCCAGGGCTACTCTGGCTGCTGTAATGAGCCCGAGAGAAGGCAAGCTAGGAGGAGAAGGTCTGTTAGAGCTGGCTGTGTGAGCGGGTGCAGTAGCAGTGGGGGCAGAAAGAAAAGAATACGTTATGGAAATGCTGGTCATTTTACAGTTGCTCACAGACAGGAGACAACAGAATTTACCTCAGTTAATATCAGAATACATAATCACAGAATCCGCATTATTCATCTGTTGGATTTATCATATTCTAGTAGCATAATTTAAGGCATATTAAAAATACTATTTTTTATATTTAATTTTAGTATTAGTATAGAATCCTCTCCTAGTCTGCATTAGAACTGCCTGAGGAAAAAGTAGCTATTTACTTTCCAGTTTACCTGGAGGCGAGGGATGGGAAAACATAGAAGCCTACTTTCATACTGCAGTACAACCTGGGATAGGACCCTAACTAACTACCTCTACATCACTTTCTGTCCATTCTTTTTTTTCCTGAGAAGCTTCTTCTGTCTGCTTATTCTTGGCATGAACTCCCTCCCTCCCTCCCTCGATTCTCTCTGTAGCCTTGGCTATCCTAGAACTTGTTCTGTAGACCGGGCTGACCTCAAACTTAGAGATCCGCCTGCCTCTGCTGGGATTAAAGGCGTGCACCACCACTGCCTCAGGGATGGCCTGCTTCTAACATGCTCTTTTTATTTGGTTGTTACAGTCATCATTCTTTCTTAAAATCAAATACCTTATGGATTTGATGATGCAGGCTTTGCAGAACCTGTGGCCACATGGTGTTTGTACAGCTTCCCGTAAAGCCATCAAGCAGATCGGGCATTCATACTTGCTCTCCAAAGGTGGGTCAAACTCCACATCATACCCCTGGATCTCTTCCATAAAGGAGCTGGAGAGGTTCCCAGTGCTGGCAGATCCACTCACACTGTCATCTTTCATCGCAGCACTGCAGGAGGTGGCCATGGCAGCACAACAGTCACTTGAGGACTGATTGGACCCACAGCTGGTTTCACAGTTTAACAGACTCATAGTAGCTTTGTTATCAGTCAATCTGTAAACATGGCAAGAGGAAAAACAACAACAAAAATGCTTTAGCCTGCAAACATATAGTTTATTTATACTAGTCATGTAGTAGTCCATACCTACTATTTAAATATTATTTACAAAATAACTTCTAAAGTGTTTGAGCTTTGTTTCATCTTACTACCACTTCATGGTAAGTTACTGGATTCCCTATGCTGAACACAAAGACTAGATAGATCATTTAAGGAAAGTTCCTGGTCTGATACAGTGACAACAGATGGCTCAAAAGGAAAAATACTTCAGTTACAACACCCTATCATGTGTTTATAGGGTCTGAGATCAGGAATTTAATGTTCATTGTCATGCCCAGCACATAGCACAAAAGAATTTTTCATGTAATAGTAGATGCTAACTAAACATCTACTGAGGAAGTTCTTCACGTCATTAAGGGTCCGTTAGGTATTCTTAGCTGAAGAGAATAGTACAGCCAGCAGGGAACCAAGTGATCACATACCAGTATTGTGTGTGTGTGTGTGTGTGTATGTGTGTGTGTGTGTGTGTGTGTGTGTGTGAGAGAGAGAGAGAGAGAGAGAGAGAGAGAGAGAGAGAGAGAGAGATCTGAGGCAAGTAAGTGGAACCACTCAGAACTTTCTTATTCTGATCTAAAATTCTATGTGGATTCCTAAATGCTCAGTGTGGTGATTTCTATTATATAGAAAGAATGGAATTTAAAAGTGTATATTTATCTCCTTCTGCCTTCAGCCTGATCAGATGACCATGTTTCACTACTAATGACTGGAAAAAAACATGAGGTTTCTTTGCCTATGGAAAACTATTGTGCTAGGAGCAGACAGACGCCCTCAAATTATATTACATACATGGGATGTGAACATTTAAAAGCAACTTATAATCCTCTAAACAGCCATGTTTTCAGCTTAATCATCCTTGAGGAAAATTCCTAATGTAAACTATAGTTCTAGAAACAGAATGCAAACTTCTAGTCAATACAACAGACAATAACCCCCATGCCTGTCTATATAAAAATTATGTCTGCCAGTTCACCAAATGGAGGATTAAGCAGAAGTTACCAGGTCACTTAGATGGCTCAGTGGGTAGAGGTGCTTGCCTCTAACTCTGACCACCTGAGTATAATCCCTACAACCCATAAATTGTCCTCTGACCTCCATACATGTGCCATCGACACTCTTCTCACACAGCAGTACATAAATGCATTAAATAGCAATAAAACCCCTAACAACAACAACAATAAAAGAAAGAGGTTCTAGTTGGGTCTAGTGGGGGCAGGTCTGTAATCTTAAGTTAACTACTAGGAAAGCTGAGGCAGGAGGAGAATGAATTCTAGATAAGCATTGACAATTTAGTGAGATCTGCTTTAGAATCAAAAGAAGGCTGGGAAACAACCCAGTGGTGGAGGTCTTGCCTGGCATGTGAAGCTCTAAGTTCAACCTCCTAAACTGGAAATAAAGGCAGGTTCTCACAGTCTTTACACACCTAGGAACAAACACCCTTCTGTATGCTGTAAGCCTTTCAATCACTGTCTGACAGGCACCTACAAAGCAGCAGGAGGAGCTAGAGGATGGCGCAGAGGTGAAGAGCTCTTACTCTTCCAGGGGATCTGACTTCCCTATGCAAGTGGACTTACATGTACAGATGTATACAAATCATTAAAAATCAAATAAGTCTTAAACAAAACAAAACAAAACAAAACCCCCAAACCTAAGTGGGGCAGTGCTCTGGTTGCAGGGGCAGTATACAGTGGCTAGGCTAGGCTGGACAGTCTGCACCTAGGCCTTTCTCAGTCACTTGGGCATGACTTGGGCAAATCGGATAATCCTATATTTCAGTTTCCTCCCCTGTTAGTGAAAGATTCCATCTGAGAGTTCCTGCAAGGTCTACATGTGTTAATATGCACTGAATACTAAGAGCTGTACCTGGCAGTCAAAACAAGTTACTATTTCATACAGTTTTACACAGTATTGTCTTCACCTATCAGAAACCATAGAGCTTAAAAAGGTCAACCTGTCCAAGATCATCAATTAAGAAACAAAGTGGGATCAAACCCCAAAGTCTACCTGATCCCAGAACCTAGATACCTCTGCATTACCTGTTTTTTTTTTTTTTTTTTTTTTTTGGACAAAATCATTTAAGATTTATTTCTTTTTAAAGTGCTGCCCAGCATTATTACATTGAGTTGATATAACTCCAAAATTCACCTGAGACCTCATACCATTTTACTTTATTTTTGATATAATTTTGAAAAGCTGAAATTATCTCCCAAAGCCTTGCCATTTCTAATGTGAATTCCTAGGAAAGGCTCATTCTGACTGGAAGACAGGAAGGAATGAGACAGTGGTACACAGTAGAACTAGGCATACATGCCTTTCTCCAAACACTGAGTATAAGACCCCCTTTACTGCCTTTATATTTGAGGACAAATGACAGTTATACTATACCACTGATTATATCCTTTGTTAAGTTTCTTCTCTAGTCATGTTTCCTAAAAGTATAATTGTTGGGTGAAAGGACATGCAATTTTTAAAAATTTCTGATGCATGATGTTGCTCACCCAATATATATATCAAAGGCTTTCTAATCTCCACTCCCACATAGTATATACAAGAGTGTCCATTTTATAAATCCTTGATAATAATAAACCCTTAAACTTTTTAGCTGTTTGTTAGTAAAGTCATTTCTGAGACATTAATATTTGTTACTGAGCTGCACAGCACATATCAAAGTGCTAGCTGTATGGCAAACATGAGAGAACTAAGTCTTCTCTTCCTGCAAAATGCTTAAAATTCAGCTATGGGCAGTCTCTATACTGCTTTCTTGCTGTCCAGTTCAAGATTTGAATGTCATCTGATTTAAAGAGTTCTTTTATGAACTCCTGTAGGTTCCTAGGAAAGCATGCTTGATAGATAGTAACAATTCCTTAAAAGGATTTCACTGAAGGAATGCATTGTAAATGCATTCTTAAAAACCTATACAAGCATCTGTGGACAAATGAGGCGTGAGAATGTAAAGAAGGCATGAAGGGGACCACTGTCTTCTGGGAATGACTTGACCACTGCATTGTTGAACTCTCTCAGTAGCCATTGTTACCTGCTCAAGATCCCTCCTTGGGAGCTGCAGAGATGGCTCAGCAGTTAAGAACAAGTGCAGTTCTTCCAGAGCACTCAAGTTTGGATCCCAGCATCCACAGCAGAAGGCTTACAACCACTTATATCTCCAGCTCCTGGGTATCTGATACCTTCTTCTGGCTTCCGTGGGCTATACCCGAGGCATACACAGACACACACACACATATAAATAAAACTAATTAATTAATTAAAAAGATAGATTTCTCCCCTTAACGTTGTCAAGGTAGGGGAAGAGCTCACAAAGAACTACCCTTCTCTGAGGTCTGACTTGCAGTTAAAGTTTGCTGGAGGAGACATTTTCTGCCCTAGTATAAGCACTGTTGAGTTGTCTATGCTCCTAGGGGCCACCCTAATTAAACTCATTGGTTTACCAAATATGCACATTCTCTTATCAGCTCTTAGGGTATAAAACACCAGGGGTATAATTAGAAAAAAAACTATCAACATCAAATTGCTTTCCTTCTCATGCTTGAAGAACACAGAAGCTCTATGTCTTCTAAATATTCTTCAGATAATAATCTTGAAAGTTTATGGGTGTGTACGTGTGCCTGGATATATGTGTGTGTGTGTGTTTAATATACTGCAATATTTTAACACATTGTATAGTAATTAGACTTCAATTTAATTAATATTAGGAAGATTAAGCTAAAACAAACACTTGAGTACCATTTAGCATTTTAATGTTTACTTTTTCTGAGACAAGTTAAAATATTTTCTCCTTACTTTTACATGTTGCAATGACTTAAGTAAAAAAGCCACATCTCTAATTTCCCTACAGTGAAAAACTGTCTTAATTAATGTTTAGAGAAGAAGAAAAAGTGCACTGAATCAGCTGCAGAGGTGAGAACATAATGTGGCATGTGTAGAAACTCTAGACTCACTAAAATGAGTATTTCTTGGTGTAGTTTTTACTTATTGGGGTGACTTTCTCCATAAATACAGAGGACAGAATGGAATTCACGTCATTCTTCATCTTGTATGTCACGAGTGCATTCTGTGAGCTGTGTAGGACACTTGAATGCAGTGCCACAGAGGTAACCATTACCAACTTAGCTCAACTTTACAGTAAGTAATGAAATTAGCCTTATCAGAAATTATGGTTTCTATCTACAAATCTAGGTATATATTATAATTCAAAAACAATTAAGTTAGATGCCTTATGTGAAGGGTAGGGTGACCAGCAAAAACAGATACTATGCTAGGTAATGTGGATGTTACATTTTGGAAGCATACATTTTATGTTAGCTGGAGTGTATATATAAGTAAACATGTGATTCATAAATCAAGACCACATAAAAGAAAATACTGACAGTTACCTTTACCTTTCTACTACAAGGAGCTCACCTGGTAGGATTCACCAGGTGGAAGGAGAGAAGTGACTTGTCCTGTGACTTCTACACATGAACTTAGGCATGAAGCGCGCGCGCGCGCGCGCACACACACACACACACACACACACACACACACACAAAAATTATGTAAAAAAAAAAAAAAAACAACAACCCAATTTTCTCTACTAACAGCAACCATGTGCCAAGTCCTTAAAAACCCATTCTTGCTGGGTGGTGGTGGCATACACCTTTAACCCCAGCACTTGGGAGGCAGAAACAGGTGGATCTCTGTGATTCTCAGGCCGGCCTGGTCTGCAGAGTGAGGTCCAGGACCGCTGTTATACAGAGAAACCCTGTCTTGAAAAACAACAACAAAACCCAGAACAAAACAAACCCATTCTAAAAATGCAACGAACTGCAAATGAGCCACAATGGTTAATAAAAAGGTGCTACAAAGTATTCAATTGATGTAAATTAGGTTTGAACTCAAATTCAAGGTCCTTTTGCTAACTCAGGGATTGTTTCTTCCTCCAAAA